TCTGTACCGCCTTAGGCAGTTGATCTTGATAAGCAATCCAAGAGCTACGTTAAAGTCAGAGTTAAAATTTAAAACTAATATAAACTAGTAAATTTGATATTAATGTTTTAATATCATAGCTAGTCATTATAATTTTCATTATAAGCATCGGTTACTGTAGTATACACAATGCATGATTTTTACATTGTTAGCTATTGTCCGAACACCGAAAACTGATTAAGATCATCAAAAGAAATTTAATAAAACTAAACAAAAGCAATCCCGCATTATGCGGTAATTTATACCCAATCTTAAAGTAAAATGGAAATAATGCATGAGCATAGGCGTTAAAATTACGGCACAACGTTAATGTTTTACTGTAATGGCGCTTATATCTACCTATACAGTTTCTTATGGAATGAAAATTTTATACATTTCATAAATCGCTTATTGTTGTCAAATACAGAAGAAATAGAAGAAAAAAAGCGTTCTAAAGTACAGTATTGTGCATTATTGCATTGAGACTGTAGAAAATATTTTTAGAATACAGCTACTATTATTATAATAAATTACTTTCGCTGTTTATAACTCACTAATCAGCAGACGAGCTATAATTTAAATCGCGAGCAAGTAAATGGATTGGATGAATAACTTGGTTGTAACATTATTATTACTTTCAGCATACCATCTGCACATTGTATATCACTAAATTTATTGTTGTCTAGATATTGAAGGTGTTACTTCAATGATAACATAACTGAATTCTATTAGGGTAAAACTCTGTAAGGATTGTCTTTGTATAGATATTTAATAATATCCTAATTTTCTGCAAATTATGAAAATTTCGTAATCAACTTTTATTAAAGATGGCTTTTAATAATTGCTATCCCCACTGAATTACAACAATGCAGTGTAGCCAGTCTCCTATTTCTCATATTGTATAGCTTATGATCTTATCAGACTTTTGCTATCAAGTTTATCCATTTTCTTGCAGTACTATAGGCATATCATTGGATATAGCTTACAGTATAATTAACTGAACTAGCTAGCACTAATCCGTCGAGTTATATCCAGTATGCGGTAGGATAGTTTTAATTGCAATAAATTTGTTACAAATTTTATTAAGAGTTGTTAGGCGAGAATCTTTACCTTTTGCGAGGAAGGTATTTTATGTGTGTGTATAGGTGATATACTAGTATTAAACGTATCAATTTATCTTGTGTAAAGTTGTAGGAAAATTTACATAAAATTTTCCGAAATTTCGATATAAACTATAATATTTATCAGTAGTAGCTAGTAAATAATTCGGATAATTAGAGGCGACGAATAGCTTCTTCATATACTTATCAGACTTGGAGTATTATAGCAACGAAACTCCACGCAAGAATACAGCATAATAAATCACAATTAAAAATGAGACAGAATTTTTAATTTAGAAGAAGTAATCTACTATTTTCTTTAGCTATAGAAGTTAGCTTATAGTTTTTTAATATTATATACCAATATTATTATCTTGAACTAGCTATTTAAGACAACCATTTATACACAAAGGTAATTAAGTATATCACAGATTACAGCTGCATGTTTATTAGTATGGAAGCCCTCCTAATAAATTTAGATAACAACCCTTTAATAAATAATAGGACAATTGCAATAAAAGAAATTAGATATAAAATTAGATATGTGCATGATTTTTTGTAATTACAGTGTATTATATATATATATCGCCTTTCATTATATTTTGTGAATTTTAGACTTCTATGAGTATGCTTCAACTACGATGAATCGATATTGTTGGCAATAGATGATATCTCTATAAGTAATCTAAAAGGCACACTCGAAATTTAAATTAAGAATGACAATTCGTTTACGTGTTAGAATGTTATTAAATCATTTACGTAACACTTTTACAGTTTTATATCATGACGGCAATATCTTGTTACAGCGTATATAGCTCATTATCGATATTATATGCTATTATCCGAAGAAGGCATAATTGATTAGAATCGCCAAAATTGAATATCGAGAAGTTAAAAAATAAACCTATGTTATATCTATTACGTAAAATCATTGATATCCTTTATGTTATAAAAGAGAAGGAGATATGTGCATTGATGACTATAGAATCAAAGTTGAAATAAAAAAGTTGTTTTAAGTTGTATAAATTGCTATGTGATATTAGTATCCTTCAATTCTTGCTAAATATTGCTAGAACATGTACACTGAGCACCGTAAGCAGTCCACATTTGAGGCGTGCTGGTGATCAAAGTAATTGATGTTTATATATTAGAGTTAAGCTTAGAAGTTATAAGTCCAGTTAAAAAGCAGTCTTTGCCGCTGCTGTTAGATAAATCAATTTTAAAACAGTCCTTCCAGGGTTTGGAGGGCGCAATATCGTACAACATGCTTAAAATCTCTCGATGATTACCGCACCAAAGTGACAAAACATGTAATTATCCGCATTTGATATACTTCAGTTTCGAAAGGTAGCAAAATTCAAGTTTAAAAATTTGTGCTCTTTAAAAGTTCATCATATCATATTGTAAAACAATGCACCGATTAGCAAGATAATATTTAAAATTCTTTTAAAGCTTTAGCTAGCGATGTGTTTTATTAATTCCGCATTTATAATAAATTTATGAGTTTTCAATAACATACATAACGTATATCAAATTTGCCCATTACTGCCTAACATAGAGCTAGATTGTGTATTGTCAGCTAGGTAACATGACACCGAAATAGAATGCTTAAATTATGTTCTACAGTACCGTACCATATGCCGTATAATGAGAAACAGTTTCTGCAATCTATTATTAACTAACTCTAGTACTGTATCTTTCTTCGCATTAAATATGTAATGCAAATAGATTTTAAAATTCTAAAGTCTGACGTTGCATTCATTGATCGCAAATACCGCATCAAAAGCAGTAAAATATATTTAAAGAAAATTATTTAGATGGATAATATTAAAGGTCTTTATATTTTGGCGGAGTCTTTGTCATAGCTGCTTGGACTGACGTCATTAAATCTTCAGATTGCAGCATGCTCATATTCCAGTTGGCCTAACGTATAAAATTAAATATTCGTAAATGATAAGAATATAACGTATGAAAATGAAACAATAATGCCACGCATTGCTGTT